ACAGATCCATACATATGTTGCACATAAAAAATCAAGAGATTAAATGTATCTCTACAAGTTATAAATGCATCCATTAATGTGAACCTCTGTATAATATACACAAGTAAAAAAACTATTTGCAACTAGTTTCTTCCATTTCTAGGGAAGGTTAAAAGGTAAAAATGTACAAATCTGTGTGTCTGTACTCCTTACTTTTGACTGCTCATGACTCTTAATTGTGGCCATCATTTTGGTCATGTCTTTTTTCATGAGACCAATTTCCTCTTGTAAAGAATCTCTTTCCTGCAGAAAAAAACAAGATACATATGGAGTCTGTCAAAATGATTGTGGTTACCACTGTGAGAATGTAAGGCCTCCTTTGTAGGACTCTCAACATTTTCTCTTGAGGCTTCCTAATGATACTATTTCTCCTCACTGTTTTATCAAGGGAATTATTAAACTGACTTCTCCCTCTGTACAAAACTGAGAGGTAAATATAGTTAAAACCAAAAGTACTTAAATACATTACCCAATCTTTTATCCACTTGAAAAATATAAACTTGTAAATATAAGTAATCAAATCTTACCATACTGAAAACCTCCAGAATCTAACAAAACTTTGGTTCAATTAAGAAATAAAACATATTTCTTCAACATACTTCGCTTAAATAACATAAATGTCATCAACCAAAACCAGTCACACTCTAATTATGCTACTATTAATGCATAAATTGGTAAAACATAACCCTTAATTAGTTATGATATAAAATTCTATGGGAATAAAACCACAAAATAGATTGGTGGTTGTGAGGCTGTAGTTGTAAAAGTGTTAATCTTTGAGGTGAAGTACTTGTGGACAATCTTGGTGGTTACTTTAACTCGAGGTAAGGACCAAAATACCAAGTTGCCTTCTGAAACTACCACCTCAGCATCCATGCAACCAAACAACCAACCCTCTGTCTAGGTGACCTGGCATCCCTAGGTCTAACCTTCCTGTAGGCAGTTCAGTTTAGAGTGGAGTGAAGTGAAGTGAAGTGAAGTGAAGTCAAGTCAAGTCAAGTGAAGTGAATCGGTGTTGACTTAAGGAACTCATTAGAAGAAAATGGCGTGATTAGTCATAAAAACTATCATAACTGATCAGAGATTAACTCTACTCTAGCATCAGTGTGAAGTTAACTGTAGATTCCAGTTTGTTTTTCCCCTGAAGTTAGTGAACAGCAGGCCAAGGAACTATAGTCAAATTGTAAGTATTAAATTTGCAAGTTCTTTTTTGTACACAGTGTTTAATATCAACCCATTTTGTCATTCCTACAGAATGGGACACTGAACAAAGAAGGGAACTACATTACAGAGACACAGGGTGGGCTAAACACAGAGGTAGACGGAACAAAAAGAAACAACATTTATTCTAGTGAAATCACTTAAAGTACATCGACACAAGAAATGCAATATCTACTAAATAGAACCCATGAGTCTTGAAGGATAATGATACATATGAATGAACATTTCAATGATATTGACATATATGAGAATAAGAGTAATTCAATTCACTTTATGGTTTCCAGAATTAGTGATGAATGATGGGGCAGAATGATGCCATGCTAATCCAAACTTTCAGTGATCACAACTAATATTAAATCTATCTGAAATAACCTTTAATTAAATTATGAGAGCAAAATAATAATGAAGATTGTTGTTAGGGCTAATTTGAAGCCTAACAGAATACTAAACACATGTGAAGTTATATGATGAGCAGAGACTTCACAAACATTAAACATCTGACAAACATGGATGAGATATTCTCCAAACCTGTTTTAATTCATGGACTTCCATGTGATGATTCTGAAGCTCATCTTGCAATTTCATGTGTACACCCAACCAATCCTTCTGCATTTGTCCTAGCTGGGAGTCTGCTTCATAAAGACGGGCCTCTCGGTTCTCTTGTGCCCCTCGTAACACGTACAGTTCTTTGCCTAGTCTCTTTAGTTCACTTTGGGACTTCATAAGCTCCTCTTCAGCATACTGTGAAGCAATATATGGAAGGTGAATCTCAAATTAATTGGGAAAGCAATTAATGGGTAACCTGATATACCATCACTTGTGTCCATTACTATATCTCAAAAAACAGTTACAAAAGGTGCCTGTCTAATTCATCTAACATGAAGGGAGAGAGAGAGAGAGAGAGAAGGAGAGTGAGAAGGAGAGAGTGAAGGAAAGACAGAGAGAGAGAGAAGGAGAGACAGAGAGACAGAGAAAGAAAAGACAGAGATAGAGAGAGACAGAGAAAGAAAAGACAGAGAGAGAGAGGAGAGAGAGACAGAGAGAGAGGAGAGAGAGACAGAGAGAGAGGAGAGAGAGACAGAGAGAGAGGAGAGAGAGAGAGAGAGATAGACTCATATATGACATGTACCTTTTTTTGCAGATGGTGAGTGTGAAGCATACTTAGTAGCTGTTGCAAGAAGTGCAGTGTACTTTTATGATCCACTGGAGGATCTGCTTCCACACTACACCACCCATTCAG